ATGGAAACGACAGACCTAACAACCTACAGCGTCGTGTAAGTCTGAAGCATTACCGTTGGCGGGAGGAGAGGCTGGCTGGCTGGTTGACGAATGGACCATGGATCAGGGAACGGGAGGCCCACTATGGTTAGCACCTGCCCTACGTACAGATCGCAATCATCAGTGTCCCGCGGTAGGTACATTCGATGCCATCTAAGGTACACCTACCTCACCTAAATCAAGCCAGGTGGCTGAGATCAGGGAGAGGGAAAACTTCCACCTTCGGGCTGTCTTTTTCATCTTTGAATCATCATTCCATCTTTCTGTCTAACAGCACAAGTCAGTTGCCAGCCCCTTCGTCCCGATTTGCCGATCTTGCTAAATAACTGACAGCAACTACTTCTGCAAGTATATTTGCCCGTCACTTTGCGCTCAACTTAAGAGCTCTGCACCGCTACAAGACAACTTCCAGCCGCCCGTCCATGACAAGGAGCCAGTCAAATCCCGGACAGTTGGCCAGGGTAGATGGATCGTGGCTCCAAAACTCGTGGGGCACATTAAAAAAAGGACAGGCGTCGGCGCTTAACTCATGGTGGGACTGGCCAATCCTCGGAAGTCCCCCACTTGCATTGCTTCCACCAACGACCTGGAACTGTCCAATGCTATCCTTCATGGTGCTATGTGTTCAACAAGCTACGCTACAATACACTTCCGAGCTTTCCTCCCCAGTTCAGCCGTACAACAATATGGGTACTGAGTCGATGCCATGTGCCATGGCCCGCTGCACGGCATCAACGGTACGGAATGTGACACCCACTGCTGTCTACGTATTTAGGATGATCGGCAACCTAAAATCGGAATCCCAACCAGCTTCATGTTTAGAAAGGACATAGACTCTTCAGCTTTGCGAACAACGCCCAACATGATCTTGGGTTACTTTGCTTGAAAGTGTGCTGCGACTGACGATTCAGCCGGCTGACAGCCTTCCGGCTTAATGCTTTCTCAGTGGCCCTCAAAAGGCCTGTTGGTTCGATACAGTCTCCGTTGCTTTTTAGATAATAATCCATCCGAATTACCCTGAGGATTGATTCAAACAACTGCGGTCAATGAGGCAGAATTCTTTGTCCACTTCCACAGTTAGCTTGAGGAGTGGCCCTCTCTCCTCATCACCCCAAAAGTCAATGACCATAATGCCAGGCCTTCACGACGGTGCTTCTAAACGCCCTGGGCTCGCAGGGGTACGATCAGGATGTAGAACAAGCCAATCAACATCCCAAACCTCAGAACCCGGCGAACCCAGCAGTCTGGTCACGGCGGCTTTGGCAACGCTAAAACGAGCCGGTGGCCCCACCACCCGAGTTTGCAGTACGTATGTCCTTTGTGACGCACAGTTCGCTTGCTCTGGAACATGACTCTTGTAGCAGGCAGTTCAGGAATGTCCAGATGCCAACAGTTTGGCGAAGTAACAACATAAGATTCGAACAAATACTAGAGTATGCTTGAGCTGGGCCCTCTAGTCAATCTCTACCCCCCCTGGATTTTCAACTCTAATCGCCATGGCCTCTAGAGCCTATCACTCACTCACTGTCTGGTAACTTCAAGGTATGGAGAACGGACAAGGACACATAACAAACAATCATCTTCAGGTCTTTCTTGTTTACGACTGTCAGAGAACTAACACCATAGATGGATTCTGTTCTCATTCAGAGAACATTACAAATCCATTCGCTTATAATCAGACCAACACAGTTAGCCCGCGAGCTCATACAAACTAAGAGGAAGTTTCCAACACTCTTTCCGGACTGAACCCTCAGCTAGGTTTACAGGAAGAAGAATGACTACGAGACCAGAGACTGTATTGTTTGCTACAACCCATGGCATAACAGACGGCATCGTCTGGGGTCTGAATCCTAGTAGCCAATTTAGCGTGGTGACAACCCAACGCCTGTTGCGTTGTTTAGTTATCACAGCGCTAGACAGATTCTCGGAATTCTATTAACGATCGCCAATCCATCCAGCCGGTGCGGGGACTCCCAGCCCTTGTTGAATACCTTAGATGCTGATGTACCCTTGACAGCTCCACGAGTTCACCTCAAGATTCTGAATGGTATGTACAAGCTTTGTGCTCCTACTGAGCCGGGGATCTTTCTCGATTCTTTTTTCGAACCCAAGAGCAGGGTTGCGGTGTGGATTTACCCCTTCCGGAACATATCCGGCGGTCCACCACTGCAGAGGTCAGAATGTGCAGATGCGACCCAACAAGGAGGGCTACGTACATCCCCAATACACAACATATGAAGATGTGCTTTTAATCTATGGAATAGATTTACTAAACAACATGACAAGAGCTTTGAGCCCGAAGTGGACTTCCGAGTATGCACGAAAAAGCCACCGAGGGAAGCACAGAATGCAGTGCATAAGCGCCAGCCTGACTAGACCTTTGACACTTTGACACTCTTCTCTTTGGCTCGAGGTTGTTTGTTTATCGTGTTGTACAACTCGATGACTCAATCTTTCCACTTGCGGTAACCAGTCCGTCTATGCTGCCTGTCGAGGATCAAGATCATGTTGGTCGATCAACATAAGAAAAAGAAAAGCGCGGTTATTGGCCAAGCTTGTTACTACACAACCAAGTCAATTGGGTGTGGTGCATAGGAGTTTCCTACTGCTTGAAGTATCCTTAATTGTCTTTAATACACCACAGCACATCTATCCATGAATACATCGTTACCCATGAACTTGCGGCCCGAACAGCCACCCACTAGACGGGCTCTTCCGAACCAACGCCTCTTTGTCCTATTTTCATTGTCTGCTCCATGACTATGGGATATCCACGCCGCTGATAGCAGGGCGGCTCGAGGTACTGAATAGGTCGAGCGACTTAACGACAGCCAAGATTGGAAATTTATGACGGGCCTCAAAGAGAGATCACCCGCTAGTGCATTGGCCTTCAGAAAATCCCGATCTTTTGGAAGCCAGGTCCAAGCCACACGTTGTGAGACTCAAGCATGGTGACTGGCTTGCATATAATTGTTACTACCGTTAAGGTGGTGGAAGAGTCGGAACTCGAATAATCGACTTGAATAGAGGTAACTCTCATGCTAATATACTAGAGAGTTATTCCCACCCTTGTCATTCAGATACGTAGTAAAAGGCTAGCCAAATTCTTGAGTTTCTTTGTGACAAGCTTTTCTTTGCTTCGCACCCATATATTAAGATAGCCTTATTGTCGCTTCAGAAGGGAAACCGGACTCACTTTAGCCCTGGTAGAAAGGTATCACGATGTAAAGCGGAAGCGTCGCATCCCCTTATACCGTTGTCAAGCACTAGGGCAATAAGTTACAGGATCGACAGCATGAGGGTAACCCTGCTATAATAGAACAGGTATAGACCCCAGAGATATGAGAGCTTCAACCAACATCCGGATGTGTTGTCATACTCGTTGGCCTTGCAAGAGACTGTTGGCTCGATGCAATCGCCCACTTCCTTCTGCAAGCACAAGAATTCGAGGACAACCAACACATTTGAGTGAATTTTCGAGATCTTCAAGTGAGGCCAGACCGTAGAGGCAAACAAAAAAAACTCAATTCCAGCACCTTGCTAATCAGGTGAGACCGAGAATATGCGTGCCAGTTTAACTAGCCTCTTCTGGCTTCCTATAGATGTTGGCATGCTGTCCAACAACATGGGCCATCTCCTGATTCCTGCTCGTTGTTCCTCGCCGCAACTTGACATCCACCGCCTTTTGCGCACAGGCCCAAGCAACAAGGATGGGAGTGTTGCAGTTGTAGTCTGAGGATTAAATCCCAGCACTTAATGGCATAATTTCCTGAAGAGGCAAGAGAAGCCTAAGACCTCTATCTTGAGTAGCGAAAAGAAATAGGTTAGTTTAGTATACCTTATCTTAGCAAGCCATTGTTAGGCCGGGTTATTTTAGCACCCTGCTCATGTCAGAAGTTTTCATGCTCTCTAACGAGTGTACAAGGGCCTCCTCCCAGAAGGAAATACATACAGGACAAAGGGCCTACCAAGAACTAACCGTTTCTTTTGGAGGGAAGCATGAGTAAGGTTAGTGGGGAAGGTTCAAGTGAAAACACGGATCAATATCTTGACAGTCTCGAAAGTGTCTGTATAGGACACGGTAGATTATGAGGACCCGTGCTCTCGTGTTTGAAACTGATCAATTCATTGCCTTCCTTGCGCCGTCAAAGTGACATATTTCGGCAAGATTCCCTTAACGCCAAACCATGCACAACCATTCTTTCGCTCCTTCTTTGCCACGACGCTTTCTATGAGTACTGAACGCCGAGGTTCTGCTTCTTCTCGCTTCGTCCATCAGGAGTGTACCTAAAGAGAGTTAGAAATCGCGTATGCAATGATATCTGGATGGTCGTGTCGTACTTGAGAAGCTTCTCGATAAGGTCAACGTGGGTCATGATCATGCGGCGGCAGCAGTATCGCTTCAGACCGAGCTCGTCCATAGCATCGCTACACTCATTAGATTTCCAAACGTATAGAGAAACAGGAGCCAGCTTACCCATCGGTCTTGCGGGGATCTGCGATCAGTTGAAGGTAGCGCTCCCAGAGGTCACCAGTGACCTGCGTTCCAAGTTAGTGATTAGTGTCAGGCGCATATCGCGGCTGAAGATCCTACCTTTCCACAGGAAAAGCAGCGGATGGGAATAATCATTTTGATGTAATATTGTGAGCGCGCGGGTTCGTCGGATGCGTCCAAAAGAATTGCGACAAGAGCAGGAGGCACGTTACAAAGAAAGCTTGCGATAGTTTGGCGTTGTAGTAGGACTATGAAAATAAATTCTAGCTCCGTTATTTTTCCGACGGAGCGCTTATCTTATCAGCAACTTTTTTCGCAAGCGGGACCAAAATTTCTGCGAACCTTTACCCAGTAGAAGCGTATCCAGCAGGACAACTTCGTTACTTCTCTCTCCGTCGACCAGTTGTTAAAAAACCGTCGCAAGCACAAGAAATTGATCTCGTGCAGAGAGAAGAAGGTGGCGAAAATGGCCGGCCACAAGAGCCCCCGAACAAAAAACGACCCGACCAAGAAGCGCAAACGCGATGTGACGGAAAACGATTCGAGAACCAAGAGGCTAAGAGCTGAGCGAAAGGCGAACAAAATCAATGGAATTAAGCTCGAGAACGAAAGCGGCAATGGCGTAGTTGCTGAGGTGAACGGTATCTCTGGAGCTTTGGCAGAGGCTGGAACTCGGGAGATTGAGATTACTCGCCAGTTCGACGATACAGAGGCAGGATGGCGTGTTTCGAAGCCCATGGGTGGCAGGATGCTTGATATCGATCCCGTATTGACAGAAAATGAGCAGTAAGTCTCAATCCATGCTAGCACTGGCCTAGCTAACCTTCATAGATTCCTCATTATTGCATACAACACATCTATCCAGGTGTACTCGGCGGTCGACTCACTCCTTGTCCGACGAATCCCTATCACTACGGCCGAACCCTCCGACGACAAGACTGCAGCAGCCGCGCATATCGTCGCTATGAGACAAGCAAAGCAAAACTCCAATATCGTCTGGGTGGCCACCTCTGATGGCCGCGTCTGTGAAGTCGATTGGACAACCTCCAAGACCCCCGAATTCTTCCAGACCCAATCCAAGACTGCAACTGCCATGGCCCTCGTTACGAAAAAGGTGGCTGGCAGAGTCCAGGAGATCATCTTTGTAGCAGAATCAGATAAACCGGGCCGAATTGAGGTTGTCGCATATCCAGCCTCAACAACGGAGTCTGAGCACAAGGTTCTCTTCGTTATGAAGAAGCCCGGCAATGGCCTGCAGTTGCTCGAGACAAGTGAAGATGGCCATGTGGTTGGCGCCGTCAACGACCGTCTTTTCTTTGGCGTTCCATCACAGCGACAATTCGATAATTTGGCTTCTTTGGATTACGAGATTTATACCTTCGATATTCCCGATTTGGCCAGCGCCCTTGATCTGAGAGTGTATCCAAGACCAGTGACGAGTGGAAAGAAATCGCGACAGGAAGCTGCTGCTCCTGTTCTGGATATCATTGTTGGTGGTGCCCGTGGTTCAATCTACCTCTACCATGACGCGCTTGCTCGAAGCCAGGCGCTTGCAAAGTCAGGATCTGATAAAGAGCCTATTCAAGCGCAAAACTTTCATTGGCACCGTAGAGCGGTGCACGCCCTGAAGTGGTCGCGCGATGGTAAGAAGCTCTACACTGCACATAGAATTTCGAGGATTATACTGACATATCGCAGGTAATTATGTAATTTCAGGAGGTTCTGAGAATTCTCTCGTTCTATGGCAAATGGACACAGGAAAGAAGGATTTTCTTCCCCATCTTTCTGGCAGCGTGGAGAACATCGTAATTTCTGCCAATGGCTCCTCATATGTTGTTCACCTCGACGATAACTCAGTCATGGTCATTTCGACCGCTGAGATGAAGCCTACAGCATACGTCGCTGGCATCCAGTCGGCCGCCATCAACGTCACTACACCCAAGGATCTTCTCGTTCAGCGAACATGGACAACACCTGCGAGCGTCCAGCGACCGATCCCAGCTGCCATTAGCCCTACTGATCAGCCGAGATTACATGTCTGTGTGGGCAATGGCCGGCAGGCTACTATGTCAGGAGGGTTCTCTGCACCTTTGCTTCAGACCTTCGATCTCGAGACTTTCCGAAGCGTCTCCAAGCAGGCTTTGGCTCGCACACAGCCAACAGATGTCAACATTACGAACAAGGGCCACCCTATCGAAGAACCCGTCATTACTCACCTAGCTTTCTCAGCTGACGGAGCGTGGCTTGCTAGTGTTGACACCTGGGAGCCATCACAACGAGATGTAGACAACGTTATCAGCGATGCCAAGGACCAGTTCATTCAGGAGCGACGAGAGGTGTATCTCAAGTTCTGGGAAGCACAAGAAGGTGAGGAGCAGATTGCACTTGTCTCCAGGATTAATGCTCCTCATGCTACAAATCGTAACGAGGCAGTTCTCGACCTAGCCTCGAACCCTGTCTCGACATGCTTCGCAACCATTGGTACCGACGGCAATGTCCGATTGTGGCGGCCCAAGACAAGATCTCAGAATGGTGTTGTAGTGAAGGGGCCTAACGGTCGCGAGGTCTTCACTTGGAGCTGCTCTCAGATTATTGCTGTGGGCGATGGTATTTCTCAAGACAGCGTGATCGACCTCCTCGAGTCTGGTGTTGCTCAAGAGCCCCAAGGAAGCATCGCCTTCTCGGAAGATGGCTCAACTCTCTTCGTTGCTTTCGGAACAGCTGGCTCTGGCGTAATCTACTTGATTGATGCTGCGTCAGGCGATGTGGTTAAGACCCTCGAAGGCCAATGGAAAGGTCAATTGCGATCTATCCGTGCCCTTTCGCCTTTCGTCATCATCCTGTCAGATGAATTGCGCGTTTATGATGTTGTCAGTGATGAGCTACGATATGGTGTTGTGATACCACAGTCCAAGGCCAATACTCTTCTTCAGCTGGCTGTTGATCACACTTCCGGTCACTTTGCCCTAGCTCTGCCAGCTAATGAGGGTTCTCTTATTGCAGTTTTCCAGCCAGAGGATATCGAGCCCCTGTTGGTGCGTAGCACGCCTCAAAGGATCGTCAGCTTGGTTTCTGCTCCTGAGACAAGTGGTTTCATCGCCCTGGATGATGCTGCTCAAGTGTGGGTGGTTGCTGAGGGATCAGACCCTTCATCTCTTGCAACCGTCCAGCCGCTTGAAGACCTCCGCCTCGAGGGCATTGATGTTAATGGCAGCGAGGCTGGCCTCATCGATGAGGATGAGGATATGGCAAGCGATATTGACGATGCCGAGGCCGAGCCTGTGACTGAGCCCGAAGATGTGGAGATGGAAGATGATGACTCTCACCCAAGCGTGATTCAACAACAACATCTGGCAGACATCTTTGACGCTGCACCAGCATTTGCTGCACCTCCGATCGAGGATTTGTTTTATAAGGTTACGGGCCTCCTCGCGACAAAGCCTCTTTCAGCATCATGAGAGGAAGAAATTGGTATATAATAAGGCGTGTTAAAAAAGCTAGAATGTTTTTTTGTTACAAAGGAGCATGTATAAATCAAACTAGGCAGTCATGGTCTAGTCGCATGGGGTCTTGGGCAGTTAGATGATCGCAGCGCCCGGCGTTGAGCAAGTCTAGAATACTAACTAGGTATTCACTCAGTTTGTATATGCATCTGGAGTATGGCCGACATCGGCGTGATTGAAAGGAGAGGCAATCGCCAAAATAGCCCGGCATCTCTCGGGAATCGGTTGCAGATGCGGGGACGGGGCTTGACTTGGAGACGAAGGAGAAGAGGAGAAAAAGGTGTATTCGGGTGGACCAATCGCGCCATGGCACAAGACGGTGATGGGTAATCAGTCAGTTGATCTATTGACTTGGCTACCTATAACAACCTTGGGAGTGAAAGATACCAAGTTATTTATCAACAAGTTACAGCATTAAGTCTTTTTACTACCTCCTTTGCTTGTCCAACTTGGCATATAGAAATGTCGTTCACATCTATTCCAATTCTGGACCTAGCTGCGGCTCAGGATCCTGCTACTAAGCCTCAGTTCCTAAAGGAACTTCGCCATGCATTGATGGAGGTTGGCTTCTTGTATCTCAAGAATGTTGGCATCTCAGATGAGTTGTTTCAAAAGATCATTGAACTTGGAAAGGGTTTCTTTGACATTCCCGAGGAAGAGAAGTGAGTGGCGATGAGTGACATTACCATGATCTGATGGTTCGCTAACTCAATCAGACTCAAGATTGAGATGAAGAATGCGCCCTCTTTCCTAGGCTACTCTCGTCTTTCAGCGGAGATCACAGCTGGCGAGATTGATCATCGTGAACAAATTGATCTCTCAACAGAGCATCCTATCCCTGGGCCCGATGCTCCTCTATATCGTAACCTGTTGGCACCCAATCAATGGCCATCCGAGGACTCGTTGCCCGAGTTCCGCAAAGTGTATACCGACTACATGGAACGCATGGGCAAGATCTCAATTCAGTTTACGTCTCTCATCGCCGAAGCCATTGAACTTCCCAGCGACGCCTTTAACAAGTACTTTGATCAAGATCAGCAACACAAGCTCAAGATTGTCAAGTATCCTGATGCAAAGGAACTCGGCATCGAAGGAAACGTGCAGGGCCAGGGTGTAGGTCCTCACAAAGACAGCATGCTTACAAGCTATCTCCTCCAGGCGACATCGCACAAGGGTCTTCAAGTACAGAACATTCGAGGAGATTGGATCGATTGTCAGCCAATTGCTGGAACCCTTGTCGTTGCTATCGGCCAAGGGTTGGAGGCACTCACACAAGGCGTCTGCGTCTCTACCACACATCGTGTTCTCTCCCCCGCCGCCGGCTCAGGTGCACGCTTCTCCATTCCCTTCTTCCAAGGCGTGCGCATGAGCGCTGAGTTCGAAGACCTGGAGAAAGTTGGCGTTGGTCTTGTGCCAGAGGAAGTAAGGGAGCAGCGTCGCAAGATCGTGGAGCGCAATGGCGGACGTGTTGATGATGTCGAGTTTACTTTCCGAGCTGGCGGTGCTTCAAAGACGCTCGGTGAGGCAACATTGCGAAATCGGGTCAAGAGTCACCCTGATGTTGGAGAGCGCTGGTATCCTGATATTCTGGCTAGCATCCGTGAGGAACAGGCAAAGGCGAAGCAGCAGAAGGGGGCTGCGGCACCAGTCGTAGAAGCGCCCCCAAAGGCTGTAGAGGCTCATTAGGTACCGGTAGTGGATGACAAACACAGAGGAATGGCAAGAATGTGCAAAAAAGAGCCGTGTAAAATTTATATCCATCATGAGTCCCTTGATCTCGTCTCGTCTCGTCTCGTCTCGTCTCGTCTTGTCTCGTCTCCCCATTCTCGTCTAGGCCATCACGCCACAGTACGCCTCGCTTCGCTAAACATTTCACATTTTTCCAGTAGTTTTCTTCTTGACTTTTCTCTTCTCGTACGATACCATCACGTCAACACCTCGTGTGTTACGGCCTATGCGACTTGGACGTTGGGGAAGCAGTCGGCAATGGTCTTGCTGTGCTTGTTCTCGGCATGCTCTTTCAGACTGGAGAGGAAATATTAGTTAGGATGATATGGAGAAGAAACAGAGGAGATCGGTGGGTATTTTGGTGGACATACGCAGGGGCCTTTGTGGTCTTGAGGAACGTAGATTTGCAGATCTGGCACTGAATATCACAAGCCTTCTCGTTCTATTTGGTCATGTTAGCAAAAGATACCAGAAATTCTAGAGTATAGTCTGTAAACTCACCACCTTGAGTTGCGACTTGGCGGTGTTCTTGTCCTTAGCATTGCGCTCGCGCTTCTGTTGAGCCTTGGCACCCTGGGAAACCTTCATGTCAGCACAAGGTGTCGTTAATGATGGCATCTGAATCCTCTTAAGCTTACGTTACCCATATTTGCGATTTGGACTGGTTGTTAGGAAGATGAGAGGGTGTGTTGCGTTACGTAGACTAGGAGAATTCGGTATAGACTTGGCGGTGGTGAAAGTGCAAAAAGGTGTAAGTGAGTGAGTAAGAATTAAGAGGATGGATTGGATTGGATGCGATTATGCAGAAGAAAACCCGTGAAAACGGAAAACGGAGGGGTCACTTTTTTCTCTCTTTTTTTCTTAGCTATCGCCCTTTTCGGACAGGCCGTTATCTACCCGCTCTCAAGGTCTCGACCGTTCCATCCAGGGATTGGCATCAACGGTGATTGACAGAGTCTACACTCTCCCTAGGTATAACAAGGCTTCTGATGTTGGATCAGGGTGCTAAAAATACTTAATCTAAGATCCTCCAAATCTATACTAAATTATATCAAGTTTACCTAAATTTACCCAAGGCTTTTTGTCACTTGGTATAGAGATCCTAAGTTTCATTGCATCCCCTTCACTCTACAGAGCCGAGGCAGAAACTGTATCTATTTATGTTACAGAGTTGGTGTCACCGCCGTCTCAGAGTCATCCAATATGGTCAAATGTCATAAAATACACTTTTACTAAGTTACAGCTGAATACTACATAGCCTCCAAGTGCATAACCACTTTTGGTAGCTCTGAACACCTTGCACCACTCACCCTCAACATCACTGTCAGCGCCCCCTACCAAACCATAACTAACTGGCAAAAGCTTCGAAATGACCCATACGAGCCTCAACTCTCGGTAAGCTAGCTTATTCACTTCCCCGAATCTTGCTGAGTAGTGGGGAATCCTAAGGAGAGCTACTGTGCTGTGCCTTGAGCTAGTGTAGGTTCTCGTCGATCGTATTGAGCTGACCTCTGGCTGGCCTAAGCCCTATCAATTGCGAGAATGCCGCTTAGATAGAAATCAATGTCATGCTTTAGACTACTTGCTTCAGTTCGAGAGTATTGCCTACCTAGCTAGTGCAGCTAAGCAGGGAACTTCTGCTTTGCTGCTGACATTCATGGCAACGAGGATCAGAAGGATCGCCAACAACACATTATATTATGTACAATGTTTCAAATCAGGTTTATCAAATCAAGAAGCTTGAGGCTACAGGCTCTCACCTACATATCCATTGTCCGCCATGTACGACGCCACGTACAGCCAATGGCGCTATACAGCACAGCCTAAACGCCCGTTCTTTCAGCTTCACACCAACAACTCCGCATCCAATTTGATAGCTCGTCTGCCCATCCAAACAGAGTAAGGTATAGAATCCATATTGGTATGCAACGCTATACGCGTAGTTGGTGCTGAGGTGAGACGGCGACTCTTGATGTCGGCCAACCGACCCTGTACAATAGTATATAAGGCTGCTACAAAGCACGATAGAATATGCACAAACATCATTATTGAGAACAATCGCTCTTCCAGTAACCAAATATGACCCAAACCAAGTTCTCGTCTTTGCGCAACAAGCTGGTTCAGGGACGTCTTCTACTTCCTGGAGACGAGGGATTCGAGGAGAGCCTCAAACGATGGAGTCTTACCTGTGTCAAGCCTGCTGTATGTCAAACCGTCATGGCTCCCCAGCTACCAGCTAATCAATTCATAGGCCGCAGTAGCCCAACCCAGAACTGCTGAAGAAGTTAGTGAGGTCGTCAAGTTTGCAACATCCAATGGCATTAAATTCAATGTCAAAGGAGGTGGCCATAGTACCTCGCAAACTTCTTGCGCTCCGTCACCTGAGGGCATGGTCCTGGACCTCTCTCTTATGCGTGATGTCTCGGTGGACACCGAGGCAAACACAGTCTCTTTCGGAGGTGGTTGCTTATGGAAAGACATCGACGAGGCACTATGGCCTAAAGGCCTAGCTACCGTTGGCGGAACTGTCAGCCATACTGGTGTCGGAGGCCTAATCCTGCATGGCGGCTATGGCATCTTGTCTGGTATTCACGGTCTGGCCATCGACGTCTTGCTTTCATGCCAAGTCGTTCTAGCCGATGGAAGCATCGTGACCGCATCCTCCGCCGAGAACGCAGATCTCTTTTGGGCTCTCCGAGGCGCCGGAAGCAGCTTTGGCGTGGTTACCCAATTCACCAGCAAGGTATTCCCACAAGGCGACATCTGGGGCGGTATGGCTTTCCTCCCTCCCACGGCTCTGCCTGCAGTGATCAAGTTTCTGAACCACTGGGGAGAGACAAACGACGGCACGCAAATCTTCCTGACAGGCTACACTTATGCTCCTCCTGGCCCAGATCCCAATGCACCCAGACCCCTCGTTGTCCTGGTTCAAATGGCCCAGGTTGGGCCTAATCCAGAGGAAGAAGGCCAAAAATATTTCGCTCCTATATTAGAGCTCGAGGCATTGATGAAGCAAGTTGGGCCTATGCCATATCCTATGATCAACCAGGGCGCAGATGAGGTCTTTGCAAAGGGCAGCAGATACCTGTTTGGCGGCGCCAACTTCACTCTTCCCATGGAGCTCTCCACCGCTGAATCAATCCGTGATAAATTCACGGAATTTGTAGAGGACACCCCGGGTACCGAGGGCTCTGTTGTCATGATAGAGTGCATTCCTCAGAAAACTATTAAGACGATCCCTGTCGAGTCAACATCCTTCAACTCACGAGGTAACTACTACAATGTTGGTATCAACTACAAGTGGATGGATGAGAGTCTTGATACCAAAATTCGACAGTTCAACCGTGGATTCCAGAAGTCGATCCGCGAGCTTGGATATGACGACAAGGCCTTGTCAGATGGCATTGGTCACTATCTGAACTATGTGAGCACTGACGCCATCTCGGCTGAAGAAGCGTTTGGTTCAAACTCGAAGCGCTTGAGGGGGTTGAAGAAGCAGTATGATCCAAACAATGTCTTTGATAAGCTGTGGAAACTGGTTGGTGAGGTTGAGGATAACAACTGGATTGCCTGAGGGGCTAAAGGTGTATTTTCTATCATTGAATAAACCAATCAAGGCTTCTCACCACAGGTATAGTCTTATATCTGGGGAATGAATTCAACGTTGTCTTTGAAAATAAAATGGTTTTGTAGAATTAATAAGGAGGTGAAGCAAACGGACAAGTGCCTACCTACCTACCTTACCTAAGTTCTCTTGCACGGATATTAGCAGCCACGATCATGCACCGTGCGAATTGAACAGTCTCCTTCCATCGCGTCGCGTCTCTCCAAGACACTTCAACTTCGCATCTTCTCCTCAATTTCTATGCTCGTCTTTCGTAACACTTGACTCTTCTGCCTCAGCCTATCATTGAAAATCGCAAGCTGGAGACAAGGCGTTTTCAAGTCTCTCGTTCCGTTCTTTCTTATAAAAGGAGATCTTATCACTGTGTCAAATTATATCAGCACTATGGCATCCGCTTCAAGCATTACCTCTGCCAACAAAATCAACCTTGAAGAGTTCATGCGAGTTCTCGAGCAATACCCGGCTCTTATTAGAAACGTATCAGATGGAAAAGGTGGTAAGTGAATAAAAAAGACACCAAAGGATGCCACTTCATACGAATAGCGGCTAACCAATATCAACCAATAGCCAAGGGTGGCCAGAGAACGCTGCAAGAACTGGACAATTATCGATACAACGATGCATTGGATGCCTTCAATTCTAGCGCGAAAAGTCGCCCAATGAAGCTAGACGACATCAAGAACCTCGTGGAGTGGAAGTTGTGAGTCCAAGTTCACCCACATGTGCCAGAATCGTACAGCTGCATGAGGTCAAAGCTGGAGCCATTTACTAATGAAGATCAGACGCCATGGGAAATTCAGACCAACTCTTATGAATCTGGTATCATCCAATGATGCAAACGATGCTCAGGAAACTGTAAAGCAAGCTCTTGACGCTTACAAAAAGGATGCCGACATAGAAGCCGCCTTGGGTGTATTGACAAAGCTTCGAGGTATTGGTCCTGCAACTGCATCCTTGCTTTTGGCTGTTCATGATCCGACACGGGTCATCTTCTTTGCCGATGAGGCTTTCTGGTGGCTATGTTGCAATGGGAAGCAGGGCCCTATCAAGTATAACGCCAAAGAGTACCGTATGCTATGCTCCAAAGTCGACGATCTGCGGAACAGACTCGACGTGCAAGCAAGTGACGTGGAGAAAGTGGCCTATGTCTTGATGAAGCAACCGGCTCAACCGGATCAATCCCATGATGTGGCACCACCGAAGGAGGCCAGGCAGATTACAGCGCCCAAGGCAGCGAAGAAGGAGAAGAAGAGGAAGGTTAATTCAAATGCCGAAGTAGAACAGGATGCAAACCATGAACAGCCGCCACTTCGTCGATCCAAACGGGTCAAGATCTAGTGCTTCAGTCGCAGGGGAAAACAAAACGACCCGACTCACGGCCACAAAACCACAAAACTACTCTGCACGGATTTTGCAAAAGTGCAAAGAATGATGCTCACAATTCAATGCCGCCCTTCAAATCGTATGCACACTAGGTCCATGGTTCCAAGCTGTAAGACCAAACGGTTATACATTACAGCTAATCGCTTTGATAACACACCGCAACTCACCATAGGCCATCAAAACGACAGCCTCAGAGGACCGGGTATCCGGCCCGTATAGCGTGTGTATCCGAAGAATACCAAGCTCCCATCCGAAGAAATTCCGCATGACGACAATTCCTCACGATGAAATCAATGACTTAACGCTCAAAGAGGCCGTGGACAGTCACGCGCAGCGTTCAGACACGTTTACGGACCATGTAAACGTGGTTATAAAACGACCATACGCCGCACTGGCACCCAGAATGTCAGGTTCCCCTTCCTCGGAGAAGATGCTTGAGCTATTACCTTTGCTGTTCCAGTAGTGTCCGTCGATTGCCACATTTACTCCAGTATATATATCTGATACAACTGGTGCGGGCGGTCTAGGATAGCTCAATTTTATCTATCATTTCCAATACCCACAATCAACTTCTCAAAAGTTCCCACCATGGCTCCAAAAGGCCACCGGCATGGCCCATCAAGTAGTATGTTTGCTCAGATTACCGAGCCCATACCTCTCCCTACTCGATTTGCCCGAATCAAAAGAGATTTGGTCGAGGGTAAAGAGTCTCAGATCAAAAGTTCCTGGATAAGACTGCTTGTCAAGTTAAACACTGAAATTGATATCATCGCCAAAGCCGGTTCGAGTATCTACCCATCTATCGATTTTAACGATCTCAAAAACTCTTCAGTCGCAGACGACTTTTCTTCAAGACTAAAGGAACGAGGTATCGCTGTCGTTCGGAATGTAGTTCCTCATGATCTGGCTACGAAATGGAAGGCAGATACCGACGCTCACTTAGGGGACCTTCAGGCGCAACGATTGCCCACCCATGATCCGCATCTTTACGGGATTTACTGGTCTCCTGGGCAGATCAAGTCTCGAGCCCATCCGAACATTCTCTATACTCAACGTTTCCTAATGAACCTATGGCACTCGTCTGACCCGGAAGCGCTTGTGAGCCCCAATTTCCCTATCAGCTATGCCGACCGCATGAGGGTCAGGAGACCTGAGGATGAGACATGCTCCCTCAGTGTATATGTTGATGGAGGAAGCGTGGAGCGTTGGGAGCCGGATGGCTATGGTTCAGCAGCGACTTATCAACGCATTTGGGATGGTCGTTGGGAGGACTGGGATCCATGGGAAAGCAGCACTCGACTAAAAGTGACAAGCGATTTATACAATGGGGACGGCTCATGCAGCGTCTTCCGCATGTTTCAGGGCTGGGTCGCTTTAAGTGAAGTTCCTTTTGGCCATGGCACCCTTCTCTTGTGTCCCATGATTCGACTCACAACTGCATATCTTCTTCTGCGCCCCTTTTTCGTGCCTAAAGAATCCTCACCGGCAAGCCCAGACTTTCTTACACCAGGGAACTGGATCCTTGAAGAGCCACCTTCGTCTGTGATTCAAGGTGCATTGCCGTCTTACCCACAGGAGCTCAATGATGCATTACATCCACATCTACAGCTTCATCGGAGCATGATTCCCATACCAAAACTTGACCCTGGTGATTACCTTGTCTGGCATTGCGATACCGTCTACGCCCTTGACCGTCTCCGCCGCCCAGACATCCCCCCTACAACGATCATGTATCTTCCAGCCTGTCCATTAACTCAGACAAATGCCCTATATCTTGCTCATCAGCGCAAAGGTTTTCTGCATGGGGAAGCCGGCCCTGACTTTACCGGAGCCCCTACGGGCGATGTCAATGTAGGAGGAGAGCAGGCTGTTCGAGAGGTTGGTGAGGCAGGCGGTTTAGACGGCATGCGTGCAATGGGGCTATTGCCCTGGGATGAGGATGAAGCTCAAGATGACCTTGAGTATGCAGTATTGGAAATGGCCAATGGTGTATTGTTTCCAGAAAAGTATGATGGGACCTACTGATACACTCGTTTTTCGAACAAGGCAGAATGCAATGCGAATTTCTAAGTTATTTGGTCGGACATATCACATGGAATCGAGAACGGCATGGTATTTGAATAGTGATATAGCAATTTGCATGCGACACCATGGCGATTGTCTGGACGTACACCAAGGCACCCATCATCCAACATCACGATTCTATACGTAAAGAAATTCCTAATACAATCTCAAATGGTCGATCGTCCTGTCCACGTCCGATCGCCAACTTTGCGCCGGTGCTTAACCCAGTAACCGTTATAACGCTATTTTACATCTTGCACTTCATCTAGCTCCAGGTCTGTTGCTGTTTGTATGTGCCCTAACAGGCTCAGACCCAGTCTCTTTCCTTCCGCCCAGACATGTCGACAATAGATCACGTGCCGATGTCCTTGGGTAGGCGGACACCGTTTTCCTTTGGAGCGATATAGAACACGAACGCCTTAGATGCCCTTTCTGGACTCGCCAGTTTTTTGCGTAGCAGCGTACTTGTCGCTAAGCTCATCGTAGCTCTTGTGGAGCTGCTCGCTCTGCTTCTTCAGGGTCTTGAGGTCCTGATCCTTCTGCTCAAGCTCCTTTCGGAGACGGGCAAGCTCACCGGGCTTACCGGCAACAGCAAGCTTCTCGGCCTCCTTGGTATCGCTCTTAGTACCCTCGTAAGCGCGGACCTTGTCCTCCATTCGCATCACCTCGAGGATCATAACGTAGGTGCGGTTAAGGATGAGTGAAAGGAAGAGGGTGAAGCCGCAAAGGTACATATTGCGTTGGGAGTAGAACTTGCGGGCTTGGACTTCGAGGCGCTCGTGACCCATAACGGCAGCACTGTAATTAAGTTAGTGATGTGCCCACGTGCTATACCGTGGTTGCTTGGGGTAACATACCCTCCTCCCTGCTTGGACTGTTCGGAGGCAGCGGCGAGCTCGAGCTGAACGCGGTAGACACGGTTGACACTGTCGATAAAGAGAATTAGGATAAAGACAAAGGTGATCTTCATCCAGTATTGAATCTTCGCGACAACGGGGTTCTCGGAGATGAAGCTGTGTGTTTCGTTAGCCACACGGTAAAGACGCCTCAACTTCATGTTTGACGCACGTGAAGATCTTGCGCTTAACGTTGAAGGGCATGGGGACGATCAGGAGCATGAAAAGCGCCATCTCGAAGACGAGAAGCATAAAGACCTAATTGAAACAGTTAGAAACTCCATTGGCTAGGTGATTGAAGCTCCAATAAAGGCACAAGCAACGCACGAGAGTATAGTAGAGCGTCATTGTGACGGCGGTGACGAGGGGTAGACAAAAAGTGAAATAGAGGAAGATTGAGAAGCTCAAAAGAGAGAGTGAGAGAGAGGTCTAGTCGTAGAGTGCTGGTGTGTTATGAAAAAGGGGGGAAAGCTTCCGGTTGCGATGGTCTTCGTATTTGTATGTAAAGTGAAAAGAGGAAGAATGACAAAGGTGGTCAGTTTGGACCTGAACCTGGCAGAGCTGGGAAAGCTGTCGTGCACCTACCTGGCTTGTTCCTTCCATTCCCACTTTCGAATCGACAACGTCATCGCTTGTGGCTGGAGCCTACTGGACGCTAATGGTGGGATGTGGGGCATCATCACTGAAGCTGCAGGATTTAGTGGCCTAAGTGGCACCGCAGGGAGCAAGAAAACATAGTACTCCGATATAGGATGTCAAAATAAACTGAGCAAAGAGTCTAACAAGTTTAGGCTAGGTTTACCTAAATATTTTCATCGCTCAGTGTCAAGGTCCTGAGCTTTCTTCCCTCCCCTGTGGAGATGTATTTACTGAATTATGAAGACATAACTACCTTACCTATTGAGAGGTGGATATTCTTTCATAAAGCTGTCTTAAAAAGCCAAAACATTGTGAATGAAGAATTGTTTACCGGTCGGTGGAAAGCAGGCTTATGCGTCAGCCCCGGCGGCTTGATTCGCAAGGGGATGCAACAAAACTTAGGACCTCTCTCTATCATAGAGCCTTAGGTAAATTTAGGAACAAGAAACACCAAAGCCAGTTGCGTCTCTAAAGACTCATATATTCTGTAATACTACAACAACTGTCTCCCAACTAATACCAAGCCTTTCACCCAAACCCAGAAATTTCCATCCTAGTTTGTGCAAGACTGCATGTGTGTGATGTCCCCATTATCTTACAATGAAGCCAAACTACCTTGGAAGCCCTCTATATTATTGACTCCCGCCTAACCAGTCTCCGTCATCTCTCAACTTGGCTGTCGGGCGCCGGTTTCTGACACCTCGATCCACGCGCGACCGCACAATCACGTCTTGGTCTTCATCGTCGTCGTCATCGTTGTCCTCCTCTAGTTGGCTCTGGAGCAGCCTGGATTCTTCAGTGCGTTCTTCTGAAAAAGTGATATATTCCATGCTGTCGTTGATTTCCACTGGCTGTGGCCGTTGTAGTGCAGCCGGCACGATGGTGTCTGCAGCCACAATCTGGCGTTCTTCTGGATCCTCTCGATCTTGCGATTCTGAAGCTGAAGGATGCTCCAACATCGGAGCCGAAGTCAGCTTTCGTGGATACTTTCTCGGACGACCACTCCCTGGTCTGGCACCTCCTCTTTTGCCGCGTGTCTTTAGATCTCCTCGCGGTTTGCCATTATGACTCGACGCTGCTCCCTTGCCATCTTGTCGCGCTCGTTTTCGCAGTCTTGCTGCTGAATTTCCAAAATCCGAATCTCCATCTGAAGGTGTTTCCATGATAGAGGCATCGGTTCCAGTCGGGTGATACTCTTCTTCTTCTGAGTCCTCCTCAAATGGGCCCTTCTTACGCTTACGGAGAGGCTTTGGAGCGAAACCAAGCGTATCCGCCATCATATCGTCTTCATCGAGAGCTGCTTGAGTACGCTTCTTTCCCTTTCCGGGCTTCTTCTTATCCGTTTTTGGATTCTTC